ATGGAGCACCCTGTATTGTACCAAGCTAAGCAATAATTACAACCTATGATTAAATACATAACCTCAGTGTCACACAAGCGAAAAACTGATTGCTATTTTGCACCAAAGGTTAAATCCAAGTCTTTTTACACAAATGTCTAAACGATTTGTTATTTCCAACACCAGAAGTTTCTTTGAGACCTTTGTATTGGTATATTAATTACACATGTAAAGCCATCAGCACAGTCCTTTTTAAAGATGAATACAAATGTTGTTGAGTTTATTATTTATTGTCATTTTGAGAGGATGGCCGAGAAGTATTGAGGTGGTAAATTGAAACCTGGGGACACTCTTGTCAACCAAATAATCTTTTGTCCTTCAATACATTTACAACATTGCTAATTAAAGTGCTTACATTCTGTCATGTTTGAGGACATAAAGCCCCTCAATGAGGGCCCAGATTATACAAACATGATTGTTTTCTCATTATTCACTTTCCAATGATTAATGTGATTAGATTAATATGTTATAATTGATTTATTTTAGTCGATTTGTCCAGATTTTTTGCATCTAAGCTGTGTTTCTCATGCTCTTTTCATCTGGTTTGTGTATTCATTCGCAGCCCTTCATTTTTCCATGCTCATAAATTACATTTTAATAATACCGTGTGCATAATTACAAGCTTTGTCCCCACTAACATGGAGAGAATGAGAGATGCATGACTTGTCCGACAGCAAGCATTTTGCTCTTCCCTTTCTTCCCGTGCCTTGATTTTTATTTTAATGAATGTTTTTTCTTTCTCATTTTGTAACTTGAATGAAACCAAGAGGGGGGACAAGCAGGTTCATTTTATGTGCATGTGCTTTCCCCCCCTAGACTCTGGCTGCCCTAACGAGAAATTCGATAAATCTGCTTCCAAACCATCTCGCACAAGCTTTGCATGTCCACTCGGGTCCTGAGGAAATTAACAAGCGAATAGAGAACGCCATCGACTTACGGAGTGGCGATAAGTTGAGAAGAGAGCATATCAAGCCTTTCTCACTGATGTTTAAAGACTGCAGCCTGGAAGAGAAGGTAGCTGGGGTTTTAGACGGATTCCTGTTTTTATTTTGATTTCTCTCTCCCTCCTCATATCTATTCCTAGACGGAGATATTCAGGAGCTAAACAAGATCCAGTATTGCTCTTTTTCCTATCATGAGTAAGCTAAAGGCACTTGAGATACAAATATTCAATAAAACCATTGGTGTTACCGTGGTGGAGTCCCGAGTCCCTTCTTTGGTCAAGAAGTGTATGGAGTCTGAAGAGTGCCATTACAAATAATAAACTGTTTTTAATTATAGCTAGTAAATAAATCCATGCATGCATACAAAAGACCATTTTAAATTCAATTTGCATTTTGCACCGTTAAATTAAAGGTGCAAATAAATGATAATGCATACCCTTTTTTTATTAAATAATACATTTAAAAGAAAGGCAGATTAATATAATGACGCTCGATTTGACATTTATTTCAAATGAATTATAAAGTCTTCCAAAATAAAAATAAAACCCATTTAAACAAGTTTATTTTATTTATTTATTTGTATTTGTTTACGTAATCAGTTTATTGAAGGAATCTTTTTTAAAGATTTTATTTTTCAAAGCTTGGAGTCTCCGTCCATTAAAATGCTCCTCCTGAGGAAGAAAGAGGTGCATTTGCAACCTCTTAAAAAGGACATTACTTTATCTTTAATATTTCTTTTAATGCATGCTTCTTAGTTAACATTAAGCTGTCTTTGGCTCTTTTCTTGCTGTAACAAAAGCAAATGTCCCCTCTGTGGGACGAGTAAAGGTATTCTGATTTAAGAATACATGTCATTGTTTTGTACATTTTAATTGTTTGTAGAGGTATAATGAATGATTTAGTCGTTACACTCCAGGCTCCATACTCGTGTTCAAGAATTAAAACAGCCAAACTAAAGAAGAACGTCCACATTGTGCAATCGTTAAACCAATGATGCCATTACTCATGTTCAATTGGGAAATTCTGTTTCGACCAGCATAGAGCAGTCAGCTTGGCGAAACATAGAATATTTGCAACGCTGATTAGTTTTTCCAAGATTGAAGAACGTCCTTCAGTTTACTCATGACCAAACGTCCATGGACCTGTTACCCTTTAACAAGCTTCACTACTTTTTTCTTTTAAAGAAAATCGTTGCATTCACAAAAGAAAATAACATTTCTGAGAGCTTTAAAGGTGGGGTAGGTAAGTTTGAGAAACCGGCTCGAGATACACTTTTTGTTATATTCCATGGAATGCTCTTAACATCCCGATAGCAATGAATATCTGAAGTGCTTTGACAAAAAATCCATAAAAAAATCTCATCTGTGGAAGCCGTAGTACTGTAAAAAGCACGACCAATCATCTGAGCCGGCCCGGCTAAAATAACTGGATGGCCTACCTGCCTGTCAGCCTTCCATCTGTGCACAAACTTATCTCGTGCCCTCATTGGTCATGTGCGCGTTCGTGTGTGTTGGAGGAGGGGCTCTGTAAGGAAGTGGCAGATTTTTTCCGGCTGTGTATTTTCAAATCTAGTGCACTCGAGCTGGTTTCTCCAAAATGACCTACCCCACCTTTAAGTGTAGAAAAATAACTTACATAAATGATGTTATTACGAGACATCATTACTAGATTACTGCTCATATTTCTTATAGTATTACTTACTGTTTCCTTAGCACATAGCTGAAAGGTCAACCAATACCAACAAACCCAAGTAACTTCAGATTCTGCTTACAAAGATACCTAAAATATCAGGCGAAATTTAGGGTGAAATGTGTAAAAAATGGATCAAAACAACGAAAGTATTTCCATTTAGTTAATTTAGTTTGACTAGATATTTAGATAATCTTCAATGAAAAGCTATAACAACCTGTTAAATACTGTGATATACAACATACAGTACATACTAGTGTCAGTGAAGTTAACAAGATAAAGTAACTTGATGGGAAATAAAAGGATTTATTTATAGACCTTTACTTGCTTTGATTCCTCTGTGGATTGAAGGCAAGGAAAAATACACACTGTAATTGTGTTAGTTTACAGCTGAAATGTGGGCTGTCAACGGTTGACAACATTAAATTGGAAAAGTCGTTTCCATAGGAAGACATTTCTATATTGAAATGTTAAATGTACTCATGATATGTGGAAGTCATAGTGACAAGAAAATGGTTCAGAAGGTCTTTTTCTTTGGTGAATGCAATGCACTTCCCTAGATTTTATTCCCCTTTTCCCCCATTTTTTAAAGCCCATTTGCCTTTGAGTTTATTTCTTTGCTTCCCTTTGAATCCCAAGCCATGTTTAAAACTTTTCTAAGAACTTTCTTTTTTGGTTGACCTCTTCAGTAAGTGTGATTTGCTGTTGGCCTTCCTTGAAGCATCCTCTTGATAATTTCCCAGCGTCCGTTGAGAAAGAGACAGAGCAAAGACGGGGCAGCGAGGGTCATGAGGGGGTTTAAAATTGAGAAAAAAAGACAGTAGAAAAAAGGGACAAAAGAAAGTCGAATAAAGGGAAAAAGATTACGTCGGATAAAAATGTCCAAAAAAGTATAAGTCCGGACCTATTTAAAAAACGGACAAAAAAAGGCTGACAAAAAGACATTAGAAAATATTGAAGAAAAAGACAGTAGAACAAATTAATAAAGACGACAGTCAACTAAAGTAAAAAAAAAAAACAGACCAAATAAGGTGAAAAAGAAGACATGTCGTAAAAATTGAAAAAGAAGAAAGTCGAAAAAGATTACGTCGGATAAAAATGTAAAAAAAATTACAAGTCCGGACCTATTAAGAAATGGACAAAAAAGACCGAAAAAAAGTGAAAAAAATTAGGTCTAATAAAAATGTCAAAAAAATTACAAGTCGGACCTATAAGAAAACGGACAAAAAAGACCGACATGTCGAAAAAAAAGTGAACAAAATGAAAAGTTCGGAACTCTTGATATATTGAAGAAAAACACAGTAGACAAAATTAATAAAAATGACAAAAAAAAACAGACCGAAAAAGATTACAAGTCCGGAACTGTTGATGAAAGTGAAAAAAAAGACAGTAGAACAACATCAAAAAGTGAGTCCTATTTTTGGTCCAGACTGGTGACTCATTAATCTAGAGAGTTTTACAGAACATCAGTGCTGCTGCCTACATTATAACAGACAGTTTGATTTATCTCAATATAGCCAATTACTTCGTTCATGTACATCTTCTCCTCCAGCTAATTCACAAAAAAACGCTTAACCATTTTTTCAACATCTGGCCAGGGACATCTAATCCTTTCCAATGTTCCCTTTGGGCGAACTCTGGTTTGTTTTGTATGATACCAAAAAAACCTTCACAAAGCGTCACTGCAATTGGTAGAAGTACAACGCTATTGCTAACGCTATAAACAATCATAACCAAAAACCAATTGACTTTGAGATTAGGGAACAGGAAGCGTTAAAATAATCGTATCCCGGTTTCAATACTCCTAAAGCACTCTATTACTGCTATTTTAAGGTAAAACCCAATGTAGTAGTGTCGGAAAAGTATCAAGTAAGTGTTAAAAACCTCAACCTTATAGCCGCAGAGTTGCTAGGGCTATACACCTTGTATAAAGTCTTTATCTAACATTCCAAAAATCCAGTAAATTCTCATTTGGTTAAACTTTTAAACAGTCTTCAAACTGTTGAGCTTAGCAGGCGTCTTGTTTATTTTGGTGCAGCACTCTATGTTTGTGTCTGACTCAGCTAACAGCTAACAGCTAACGGCTAACTGCTAGCATTGTGCTCGTCAGCTTTGCACCTTCCCCAGGACCCTCAGCCTGCCCCCCTCCCCCCGGCTCCTGTCTCTCTCTAACGCTTGTTGTAGAACCATTAAAGCGTCTGTTTGGTGTGATTGAGGAGCATCTCAGTGTCTTCTCTGTTTGTCTGAAAACATGTTTCTCCATCTTCTCCTCATCTCCTTTTTTTCCCTCCTTTTCTATCTGTTCTTCTTCTCCTTCTCACGGCGCAGTATTCCCAGATGAGAGACGAGGTGTTCAAGTCCAACCTGGTGTGCGCCTTCATCGTTCTCATCTTCATCACCACCATCCAAGGCCTGCTTCCCTCCGCCAGGTAATAAATACTTTTTTATTTATTTATTTAAATTTTGCATTTTAAGAAATTATTCACAACACATACAGTACATAACAAAATATACACATCTAGGTACATTGATGACCTACATAACAGTGGACAAATCTGAACTGAAATAATAATATAATAGTAATAATAATGATAAAAATAAAAGCATGGATACGTTATTAATACTCAGGTAGTAGAGACTTACTGTTAACATGATGGAAAATTCAGATTTTTGATTGGCTGATTTGTCTTGATTTTTCATATTTGTGGCTACTACCATGGCCTGGTACTATTAAGGCAAGAACTGATGTACCAGGTTTACAAATGGACACGGATAAGTAACACGGAAGTATTAGATATAAGATATTTTCACACATTTAGCAAAGAACCAAAGTCTCACCCGCCTCCAGGTTAGCTTCTGTTCTCAGAGCATTTTCTCAGAGAGACTTTCTTTGAACAGTCCAGTTAAACTCAAGAACATTTTAAGGAACAGGACAAATAGCCCTCTGTAATTCGTGCTGGATAAAACAAGCTATTTTTACTCTTAAGTACAGATTACATTTGTCTTTTATGCATTAGCTACAGCTAACAAAATACACACTGACCATGTACAGTATATGCTGTGCTTTTTTATATAAATGTATATGTTCTTGTCCCCATATATATTTGAATTGTTGTCATAATGTTAAGGAAGGTTAAGTGCAAAGTTTTAGTTCCAGTTAAATGTTTTATTTTATGACAAAGACACAACTTTGCTTTAGCTTAGCGCCAAGAGTGATACAACTATCACAATGTAATACAGTTATAATGTTGTTTTGATTAAAGTGGATACCCATTATTGTTTGAGTATGGAAAGAAGACCCTGGGAACATGTTTCTATATTTCCCCACAACTTTGAGAAAAGTTTGAGTAAATGGAACAGAATACTGTGTATTATATTTTATATTGTTATTTTGAGATGTTATTTTAAAGGTGGGGTAGGTAAGTTTGAGAAACCGGCTCGAGATACACTTTTTGTTATATTCCATGGAATGCTCTTAACATCCCGATAGCAATGAATATCTGAAGTGCTTTGACAAAAAATCCATACAAAAATGTCATCTGCGGAAGCCGTAGTACTGTAAAAAGCACGACCAATCATCTGAGCCGGCCCGGCTAAAATAACTGGATGGCCTACCTGCCTGTCAGCCTTCCATCGGGGCACAAACTTATCTCGTGCCCTCATTGGTCATGTGCGCGTTCGTGTGTGTTGGAGGAGGGGCTCTGTAAGGAAGTGGCAGATTTTTTCCGGCTGTGTATTTTCAAATTCTAGCGCACTCGAGCCGGTTTCTCCAAAATCACCTACCCCACCTTTAATTATAGGGTATCCAATTACACAATGAAAATAAGAAATAAAAGGGTTTAGTTTCCTAACCCTAACCCAATGGTTTTGGTTTTGTCGTCTCCTTCAATGTTAAACGCCTCAGCCGACAGCTGATGGTACTTCTGTTATTTTGCCATTTGTTGTGTTTCTGCAGGATGGTAACCATGGTGGTCCAGTTCTCAATCCTCATCGTCCTGCATTCCTGTCTGGTCCTAGTAACGACGGCGGAGGACTACAAGTGTCTGCCTCTGGTTCTGAGAAAAGCCTGCTGCTGGATCAACGAGACGTACGCCGCCAGAAACGTCATCATCTTCATCTCCATCCTCATCAACTTCCTGGCAGCCATGATCAATATAGTGAGTTCAACTTCCAGATTATCGTTAATTAGGGGGTTATATTTGTTGTCTGTGTTCTTGCCGATAGCAGCAAGGAAGCATTTAAGTCAGAGAAGCAGGGTTTGGGCTTTTCTAACTTCAGTTTTCTGGTTTCAAATAGCTCCATCTGATAGTTTATGTTGTCACTTTGCACAGAAGATTGTCCTTCTGAGACCTTGACGAAATCAAAAAGGACACCATCAAGACAAAAGTTGACAAAGAGCACTGACATTTTCCAAAGATGTGTGAAAACAATTCTCAAATATCTACAGTAGCATCTTTGTTTAAAACCTCAGCTACTTCTAGGCTAGTCATTGTATACTTTATCAAGGTGTACTAAAACATTGTAAATAGTGTTTTTTGGGGGAATATTTGAAGCCTCAGATTGTTACACATTTGTTTCTCCTACTCGTTGTTTAAATCAGAAACTTAAGAAAAGTGGTTTGGTTAATGTGGAGGAGATGTTTTTCATCAATCCAGTAAAACCAGTAAATGTCATCATGTTTGGATTCTCAAAATATGAGTATTGTAAGTTTTTTTTAGTGAAAGCATTAAATGACAGATTCTTTCATAACTTGGAATTTAATTAACTGAAAACCCTTTTGTATTATTGACGCGTATTCGTCCTCATCGACCCCATTTTAGCTTTCTTCTGCAAGGCGGCCTCTGAAAGACAGGGACTCGCAAGTCATTACTTAAAGTGGACCTATCATGCTATATTTGAATAATATAGTGTAGGACCATACCTATATAAGGCATATTTATACTTTTCTTTTTTCAAAATACCAAACAGATCATGCATTTTAGCCATGCCTCATTTCGCTCAATTTGACATTTTTTAGATCTGTTTTAGCAAGGGCTGATTCTGTGAGAACAGCACCACCTACAGGCCTGGCATATGTACTACAGCGTCTCCAGCGCTTTCGAACGGCAATGGCCGTGGCTGTCTCCTCCTGATTGGTGGAGTTGGCCCAATAGCCGTAGCGCCACCGTCCTGACGTCAGGACAGTGTTCAAATCTGGATCAGTTTTTATCAGATCCGTTGCAGCCCCTTTTTTAGAGATTTGGGTATGGAGGAAAATAGAGAGGGTTGTGTTTTCTGACACTTGGTGAGTTCCCTGGAACACCGGGGACACATATTCATGTAGAAAAGACGTACACAAGTGCATTTTGCATGATAGGTCCCTTTTAACTGAAGCACATTAACAAGCTGATAATAAGCTTTTGGTGTTTCAAGGTCTCTGATCGCATAAAGCAGAGTGTATTAAACAACCCCGAGGTCTCGACTGGTGAGAAGAGGATTGCTAGTCAAAGAAAGGTCCAACGATCCCAAAGAAACAGAACCTTGGAGAGGTTTGTTTGTGTCAATGAAATCTAACTCGAGATATACAAATTGAGAGTAGTTTGGTGCTCTTACACTACATTTGGTGGAATATCTATTTAAAGTCTGAGTTATTGATGTTCAGCATCTGTTAGTGCTTTGAGTTTCAATCAGGGAAACCATACAGACGTTAATCTGGCTTTCGTTGCAACAAGCAGATATTGTAGGAAAGCAAATAAAACATTTTATCAGTAAACATGTTGACAGAACACTCAACATTATAACAAAACCTAAGTGCTTGGATACTTTTTTCATTGCCGATCAGAAAATAAACACTGATGATATTATTGGGATGCAATCACGATTTCTCTTTTTGGGGACAAAGACTACAATTAAATAGAGTAGGCTTTAGTGTTTAGACCCTAACTGAGACTAAACATCACGATATCTCTGCCTGTACTGCTTGGGCGGCAGCAGCTCAGTCTGGGAAAGGGTCGCCAATTCAAGTCCCATTTGGTCCAAATTGGATGCTGAGTTTTTGCTAATGCTAACCATGGGATCTTTATCTTTATCTTAAAGGCACATTTTAATCATCTTCCTGAATCACTTCCTGTGTTGCATACACCTGACAGCATCAGTAACACATCACTTTTTATCATTATGAATATTGCAGCTGTCATGCAGAGAGCGGACTCCCGTTCACTCACAAAGGGTTGTGCATTTTGAACAAACCCAAAGAACGTTTATTGGCCTTGAAACTAAAGATTGAGTCCATAAACTCAGTCAGAACATGTTTACTGAGGTAATATACTCAGTGAGAAGTGGGGTCCTTTTTTCATAGACTTCTAGACAGTCTGACTTTATGCAACTGGACAAATTGCCCCCTGCTGGTTATTAGAGAGAATGCAGGATATGTGGGAGGAAGGAGCATAAACTGAATACCAGGAGAAACAGATCAGCTTTTTATTTATATGAATTGTGCAGCTTCCTGCAGAGAGCGGACTCCCGTTCACTCACAAACAGTCACATATCTAGGACACAAACCCGTTGAGAGATTATTGGCTTGATGAAAGAAATGCATGGGTGTATGAGAAATGAGACTGACCCTGCCTGGGTTTAAGGCAACAACAATAATCCCCCTCTTGGTCTCTCACAGCTGTGGTGCGACTTCGACAAGTCGGGCAGCGGCTTCAGGAACCAGACGTTCAACGAGTCGACCTCCATCCCAGACATCTGCTTCTACCCAGAGGTACCGACTAAATGAGGTGTCTGAATTTGCAGTCACGTCATCTGTTGTGGGGTTTTTTCTTCCACTTCTCCGAAAGTGGCAGAAATGATGAATTAAACATCCTCGACATCTGCTCGTGCCCAGAGGGAGGTCTCGCCTCAGACAGCGGCGACTGATGGAGCCGTCAGAACGTCACGGAGCAAACATCCATTATGTTATTTTGCTGAGAAAATATGCAGCTGATTGATGGGCTCAATCAGGGAGTAAAATGTTTCATAGCTGCAAGCGTTGGGTCACCTTGCAAGTGTATGCCACAACCTCATTTCCTACCCAGGATCTTGTGCGTTGGTGTGGGTACAAATGTTTTAATAATGATTTCTGGTAGGACCGTAGACTTTATATGTAGGGGTAGGACACATCACAACTTGAATATTATACACAGAACTATAGAAATATCCGAATCAGAGGCTCTTGGTTCATTGGATTGTCAGATATCCATTGGACGTGTTGCCATGACCCTTTTTTTATGCGCATGTTATGTTTTAAAATTAGAAAAGCTTTATGGAAAAGGCGCATTTGTGGTTTCTACCTTAGACCTAAAGAATTTCCCAAATTGGGATTACTAAAGTGTGACAGACACTTTATCATTTGGGAAATTCTTTAGGTCTATCTATCTATCTATCTATCTATCTATCTATCTATCTATCTATCTATCTATCTATCTATCTATCTATCTATCTATCTATCCATGTATCTATCCATCTATCCATCTATCTATCTCTCTATCTATCTATCTATCTCTATCTATCTATCTATCTATCTATCTATCTATCTATCTATCTATCTATCTATCTATCTATCTATCTATCTATCTATCCATCCATCCATCTATCTATCTATCTATCTATCTATCTATCTATCTGTCTGTCTGTCTGTCTGTCTGTCTGTCTGTCTGTCTGTCTGTCTGTCTGTCTGTCTGTCTGTCTGTCTGTCTGTCTGTCTGTCTGTCTGTCTGTCTGTCTGTCTGTCTGTCTGTCTGTCTGTCTGTCTGTCTGTCTGTCTATCATCTATCTATCTATCTATCTATCTATCTATCTATCTATCTATCTATCTATCTATCTAATGACCTAAATATATCTTGCTCTTTCTTCTCAGTACTTTGTGTTCACGGGGGTCCTGGCGATGGTGACGTGTGCCGTGTTCCTGCGGCTGAACTCGGTATTGAAGTTGGCGGTTCTGCTGGTGATGATCGCCGTCTACTCCCTGCTGACCGAAGCGTTCTACACCTCGCTGTTCCTCCGCTACGACACCGTCCACAAGAACACAGAGTGAGTGCTCTACATTGAAAATGTCCCACAATCACATATGAGAGTAACTTGTCTCTTGTTTGGCATTTTGATCGTCTTCATCTTGGTTTTTCAGACCCAAGGGTGGAGTTGGGGAGGAGTGGGTAGACCAAATGTAGCAGCTAACCAGCTAGCACCAGCTATGTCGACTGATATATAAATTGGGATGCTAAGTTTAGCTAGTAGAAAAAAGGTAGTTTTTAAAGCCTAAAAACATCATCTTTCTCTCATACACTGCTTAGTATATCGTTTTGCTAAACACATCAAGCTGTTTTGATGAAGACTTGAACCAAAGATTGAGACCATAAATGCAAAGTTGTTCTCGTAACTAGTGAAGACGCCCCCTGATTTTGGGTGTTTTCTTGCAAAAAATATCTGTCAGTCATCCAATACAATCTTGCTATATAGTCACATATATTACATAAACTTACTTTACTAATTTACTGACTCTGAATCTGTTCTTCGGACACTTGGGTCATGTTCTGGTGGCACAATGGTGTACATGCTGAAGTCCAACAAGACGAAACTTAAAGTGGACCTATCATGCTATATTTGAATAATATAGTGTAGGGCCATACCTATATAAGGCATATTTATACTTTTTTTTTTTCAAAATACCAAACAGATCATGCATTTTAGCCATGCCTCATTTTGCTCAATTTGAAATGTTTTAGCTCTGTTTTAGCAAGGGCAGATTCAGTGAGAACAGCACCATCTACAGGCCTGGCATATGTACTACAGCGTCTCCAGCGCTTTCGAACGGCAATGGCCGTGGCTGTCTCCTCCTGATTGGTGGAGTTGGCCCAATAGCCGTAGCGCCACTGTCCTGACGTCAGGACAGTGTTCAAATCTGGATCAGTTTTTATCAGATCCGTTGCAGCCCCTTTTTTAGAGATTTGGGTATGGAGGAAAATAGAGAGGGTTGTGTTTTCTGACACTTGGTGAGTTCCCTGGAACACCGGGGACACATATTCATGTATACAAGACGTACAAAAGTGCATTTTGCATGATAGGTCCCCTTTAAATGCAAGATATAAGACATATACTAAAAGAATACTAGACCCTTCATTAGACTTAGTGGTACATTTTTCATTCTAACCATCACAGTACATCTCTCCACCGGTCGACTTTCTCTTTATAAAAAGTAACTCAAGAACTTTCATGCACAGTTAATGATCTGATTAGACATGTTTAATGGTATCTTCAGTGAAACGAACTTTTATAACACTTGCAAAGTTCATATTAACATAGCAAAGGTGTTAAAGTAAAGACAGGTACATTCATTTCTCTTTACCTCTCCGTGTGTTTCCTCTTCAGAATCCCATCAGGGAGCCACGTTGACCTTTTCCTCTGCACTTAAGTGTTGCAAATGTGAGAAAACTCATATGGCATGTGTTCTCCGTGATAGTGCCTCGACCTTTACGGTGACAACGTATGAATAGATCCAGAGCAGATAACCTGTTGAGGGAAAGGTTTCCATACGAGCTCCATGGGGGGGGGTCACGTTTATTTCTTTAGGGCCCACCGAGGTAGGATAGAAAAGGTCATAAGAGAGGAACAAAGATATCGTATGAACTGCAAAACGTTTCAGTTTCAAAAGTAGTTTTTGTGTATTTATACGAAAATTCTCAGAAACGTAAATTTTAATTAATTAGAGTTTATTTCATTGAAAGGTAGAATTAATATGTAAATACCAGTAAAGGCATCCAGGATTTAAAGATTCAAAGAGTCAAAGGTTTTAATGTCATAAGCACATAAGCTACAGTGTAGAAATGGCATTGAAAATCTTATGACCCGAGCTCCTCCAACAATGCACCATATTTATATAATAAAATACAAAAATACAAATAAAAAACATTGCAAGAAGTCTATATACATGTAAATAGAATATGATATATACAAGACATATTCTTAAGCATTGTTTAGGTTAGAGAACATCTATTTTAGTCATGCAGAACACGTGAAAATATATGTTATTCACTCACAGACCACAATATCATATTCATCTTGCAGAATGTAGTGTAAGAGGTTATCCTCTTCTGTTATGAGCCTCTGTGGCATTAGTCAAAATGAAAAAAACACATTAGCAAAATCAGCTGTTTGTCCGTCTGTCTTCAAACTGCGCACCACAGAAGCCTGTGATTCGTCAACAGGCACATATTATGAATCCCAGGGTGCATCGCAAGATCAATTATTGTAATGCATTATTAAGTATTTTTAAGTTTTTGGCAGTCTGAAAGGTTTCTTGTCTTTGTTCAATCTGAGCTGAAAACCATGTTGTTTTTTCTCCGTTGCTGTGCAAAACAAACTGAGCAGACTCATTAGACTAGAGCAATCTGTGTTATCTTTAAAAACAAACATTGATGTTTTCAATGGTGGATGGTGCGGTTTCAAAATGTTGCCCCTCTTGATTTGACAAATGGGAAGCAGAGTTTAGCTGGTACGTTATAAATAAAGGTTGTATTATCACGCTGGTTAGCATGTTTACTTTTTTAATCCATTGTTTGTTAAACATTAGGGAAAAGCAGTGCAATGAAATATGAAAAATATGATGTCTTGTGTTGTCACATGTAGAGCCGCAGTGAAACAAACAAAATAAGACTACTTGTTATTCCTCAACATAACACAATAACTGAATCAATGAAGTGAATAAAATAAACTCTTCTTCTCTCATTGTGTTCTGACAGGAACTTCCTGGGGACCAAAGAGACGTCTCTGCTCCTGATGGCCATGTTCCTCCTGGCTGTGTTTTACCACGGACAGCAGGTAACATCACACCACTTTCTTCATAACACAATGTTTTATTTATTACCTGAGCATAACCAGACTTTAATCATAGATGTGTTGGATCAGAGAATCCCTGCAGCTCTTTCTCAGAAAGCACTGAAGGAATTGTTTGTTTGTTTGTAGCCTTTATTTAACCAGGTGAAAAATCCCATTGAGATCAACGATCTCTTTTTCAAGGGAGACCTGCGGTACATTGGTTACACATAAAAACAACAGAAAACAAAAAGGACATCACAACATGATTACAGGGGTATAAATTAGCAAACCTATTCACAATGACAGGTATCTAATAACATTTCATCCAGCCGTGAATATATTTTAATGGGGTCTTAAAATACAGAGATTTTTTTCTTTGCAGAGATATTTGATTATCTTCTATCTCTGCAGTTTAAGAAAACCTCAGGTGACAATAACAGCTTCTGTGCTGACAGTATTCAACAAAAATCAAATTTCAATTGTAGTCAGACTGGAGGTCAACATCTCAGAAACAGATTTCTGAGAATACCTGGAACAAAAACAAAAACGTTTCTCAGTGGAGATACATGTATATAAAGGAACTACAGCACGGTCACATGACTTCACGTCACCACCGCTAAGCTAAAGGTGGCTAATGTTGGGCTATAAAGGAACTACAGCACGGTCACATGACTTCACGTCACCACCGCTAAGCTAAAGGTGGCTAATGTTTGGCTATAAAGGAACTACAGCACGGTCACATGACTTCACGTCACCACCGCTAAGCTAAAGGCGGCTAATGTTGGGCTATAAAGGAACTACAGCACGGTCACATGACTTCACGTCGCCACCGCTAAGCTAAAGGCGGCTAATGTTGGGCTATAAAGGAACTACAGCACGGTCACATGACTTCACGTCGCCACCGCTAAGCTAAAGGCGGCTAATGTTGGGCTATAAAGGAACTACAGCACGGTCACATGACTTCACGTCGCCACCGCTAAGCTAAAGGCGGCTAATGTTGGGCTATAAAGGAACTACAGCACGGTCACATGACTTCACGTCGCCACCGCTAAGCTAAAGGCGGCTAATGTTGGGCTATAAAGGAACTACAGCACGGTCACATGACTTCACGTCACCACCGCTAAGCTAAAGGTGGCTAATGTTGGGCTATAAAGGAACTACAGCACGGTCACATGACTTCACGTCACCACCGCTAAGCTAAAGGCGGCTAATGTTGGGCTATAAAGGAACTACAGCACGGTCACATGACTTCACGTCGCCACCGCTAAGCTAAAGGCGGCTAATGTTGGGCTATAAAGGAACTACAGCACGGTCACATGACTTGACGTCACCACCGCTAAGCTAAAGGCGGCTAATGTTGGCCGTGATGACGTTTAGTCATCTCATTTAGACAAAAGTTAGCAACCAACGTATTTAAATTCACCAGTGGGGTATTTACTGACGTATAATTATAACATAGAGCAAAAATCTCTTCAACTTGTGTTAACCACAGACCTTATTTCAGGCTAACAACCAAAAACACATTTGGAAAACCATTGATTTCCCAACACAGTCTCACGGCATTTCGTGTTATAGTCACGAAATTAATCTATTGATTCGTGTTCACCAACACCATTTCGCCATTTTTTTCGTGTCACACAGAACGATTTTAGAAGCAATGTAAATAATAACAAATTAGAAGGAAAAAGACATTTAAAAAAATACAGATTTCAGTATTCTGACACAGAACGATTTTAGAAGTAATGTATTTATATTGGTAGTATGTTTCGTGCCTGCACCAAATAATAACAAATTAGAAGGAAAAAAAGATGACATAAAATACAGATGTCAGTATTCTGAGGCTCTGAGACATTTCTTTTCCTCACTGACGGCAAAACAACTCAGACATTATGCAATTTAAAATAAAAGGGATAGGGTTAGGCTTAGGGTAAGATATTGAGTAAGAAAATGTTTTTATGAACCACACAGCTTCCGGTCTTCCAAGACCCGACCGGACAAAAAGACGTGTTGCAGGCACGAAACATACTACCAATAGAAATACATTGCATTTAAAATCGTTCTGTGTGACACGAAAAAAATTCGAAAATTGTGTTGGTGAACGAATCAATAGATTAAATTAATTTCGTGACTATAACACGAAATGCCGTGAGACTGGGTTGGATTTCCAGACCTTGGGACAGGAAGTGATCAAATACAGACACATATCCGGGTTTTCTGACTCATTCCTGCACCAATTGCTACGCCATGTTAGCCATGTGCTCTGTATTGGAGGGGGCACTGTTTCCTCCTAATGAGTCAGAAACCATTGCTTTTCAGACAGGGAATGCGGACTCATGTTTAGGGTTGTATGACTCATTTCTGCACCACTCTACACCCGTCAGAAGCATTATTTATAATATCTGAGAAATCCGTCCTGTCAGGTTTGGTAATGTATTTAAATGACTTTTTATTCATTTAGAAAAACTATTTGTGTTGAATCCTTTGCTGCACTTCAGATTGATCGCTCTCTCTTGTGTTCAATAATTGATTCAACTTTTTTAAATGAAGCCGTTCATCTAAAAGATATAAACAGCAGACTTTCCTCTGATCTGTGCCTGCATGTTTAAGCAGTAGGTGTTTGAAGGCCAGTTTAAAAACACTGAAAATGCTTTGAAAAATAAGGAGTATGGATTTTCAGACCTTGAGAAGTCAAGTAATGTTTGGAGAAAATGTAAAATAACACTGAGTTGACCGAGTGACTTGTTTCTATGAAGAGTTCACTGCAGAGTTACAGGGTCAGGGTGAGAGTCTGAATTAATGAATACTTTAATAAGTGTAATATCTGTGTGCTCCTTCAGATGCAAAGAATAACAGAAACAAACCACTCCATCTGAAACACCACACAAGGCGTTGTTTCTCTGAAGGTGTAATCAGAGAGAGCCGGAGGGAAGCTGGTGTTCCCGCCACGCTTTCATGCTCTCTCTATGGCAACCTTTGATCAGCAGTTTGGCAGCAGAGATGGAGGGGAGACGGCCCTAATTGAGGGTCCTTTGTAGCCCTATAAAAGTAGAAGACAGCCGCATTTGAAGTCATGCAGTGGCATATTGATTTTCCACGGGTCAATCCCACCACTTGTTTGTCAGACAGAGACAAAGACGGGAACACTCAGCGCTCTGAAAAGAAGCATCAGGCGAGGAGAAAAGAGTGAATTGAAAAGAGAATATTTACAGTTAGTGGGTCGGGGGGGGGGGGGGGGGGTCTCCTTCCAATGTGGTGTTAATGGTTGGTTGTTGCAACGTTTACACAATGAAATTCTAAATGATGTTTAGGTGAAATTGGTACGAGGTTAGACCTATCCTTTATTACAAGCCTTTCCAAAATTGACATTAATAGTCAAATTGTTGTAACACACAAAATGTATTCTTGTAATGACCTCATGTTCATTATAATAATCTGTCGAATGCTTTTCAGAGGAAACGATTAGATATCTTGTGTCGCACGGATAAAAAGGTTTATGATTTACTTTCTGGGTTTTTTTTTGTATTGTTTTGCTAAATGTGATTTACTCTGAAAACTAGCAGCACTGTCGTCTTTAGTTGAGCCATTAAAAACATTAGTTAAAGCTTTTATACTTTTATTTTATTGTGCATTTCACGGCAAGACAATACAAGATACTGTAATGATTTTTTCTAACACTTCTACATGCCAAGATTTATGTTTATGAAGCCGAGCCACAGAGCTTTTACGTCATGAGCTAATAGCTCTGGATGATGAGGTTGTTCTTCATGAGCGCTGCTTCCAGCGCAGTAATTACATTATGAAGCATTTCATTACAGCGCTGCAGACAAGGCTCTTATTTTGAAATGATTAGGTTGTGACACCACTTTCATTCTGAATTGTTTTAAGACCAGAAGATTAATCCAGTTTACCTAATAGTTCCAGTGATGATGGACGCCACGGAGAGAATGTAATAACAAGTTGTCAGAACAAATTATAAGGTCATCTTTTATTGTGTTTCATAACAACCCATCGGTTTGTTTACTGAGCTAGTGTTTTACTTCCTGTCTGTCTTCTTCTGCTGTTCCCTTAGTGTTTACTTCCTGTCTGTCTTCTTCTGCTGTTCCCTTTAGTGTTTACTTCCTGTCGTCTTCTTCTTTCGTTCCTTTAGTGTTTACTTCCACTCTGTCTTCTTCTGCTGTTCCCTTTAGTGTTTACTTCCTCTCTGTCTTCTTCTGCCCTTCCCTTTAGTGTTTACTTCCTCTCTGTCTTCTTCTTTCGTTCCCTTTAGTGTTTACTTCCTGTCTGTCTTCTTCTGATGTTCCCTTTAGTGTTTACTTCCTCTCTGTCTTCTTCTGCCGTTCCCTTTAGTGTTTACTTCCTCTCTGTCTTCTTCTGCCGTTCCCTTTAGTGTTTACTTCCTCTCTGTCTTCTTCTTTCGTTCCCTTTAGTGTTTACTTCCTGTCCGTCTTCTTCTGCTGTTCCCTTTAGTGTTTACTTCCTGTCCGTCTTCTTCTGCCGTTCCCTTTAGTGTTTACTTCCGCTCTGTCTTCTTCTGCTGTTCCCTTTAGTGTTTACTTCCTGTCTGTCTTCTGCTGTTCCCTTTAGTGTTTACTTCCTGTCTGTCTTCTTCTGCTGTTCCCTTTAGTGTTTACTTCCTGTCCGTCTTCTTCTTTCGTTCCCTTTAGTGTTTACTTCCACTCTGTCTTCTTCTGCTGTTCCCTTTAGTGTTTACTTCCTCTCTGTCTTCTTCTGCCGTTCCCTTTAGTGTTTACTTCCTCTCTGTCTTCTTCTTTCGTTCCCTTTAGTGTTTACTTCCTGTCTGTCTTCTGCCGTTCCCTTTAGTGTTTACTTCCTGTCTGTCTTCTTCTGCTGTTCCCTTTAGTGTTTACTTCCTGTCTGTCTTCTGCCGTTCCCTTTAGTGTTTACTTCCTGTTAACTTTCCTCATTTAAGTTTGCATTTAATATCCTCATTTATTTGAACCTTAGCTAGTTCAAAGTCTGTCGGATCAGAACAGTCTGTCCAGCTGAGCCTCATTCTGCAGTAAACTGAATTACACAGTGTGTCAGAGCTCTAACGCTGATGAGTCAAATGTTTATTGGTGTTATCTGCTTGTATCCACTTCTCTTCTGAATGAAAGTGTCTGTGCTGAGCGACCGACTCATTATCCCAGAGCAGCTTTGCATACTTAATTAGGAAAACAGTAAATGAGTTCTCGTGATTAAGGGACTAATTGATACCGAGATTAATCACAAAACTGTTTCCGCCAATCGACTGAAAGAGAAACGCTTTCATTCCCACAGACAGATCTGCCTGGCCCTGAAATTAATTTTCAATTTCATGTTTTTTTTTTATGACCCCCCCTCTCTCCCGTGCAAGTACAAAGTAATTGGTACCGACATTTGTTTGTCTCTAATGTATTTAAATTACTTTGTATTAAGTGTGCACTCAGAAAAACAGTTTGTGTTGAATCCTGTGCTGCACTTCAGATTGATCGCTCTCTCTCTCTCTCTTGTGTTCAATAATTGATCCAACTTTTTTAAATGAAGCCGTTCATCAAAAAGATATAAGCAGCAGACTTTCCTCTGATCTGTGCCTGCATTTTTAAGCAGTAGGTGTTTGAAGGCCAATTTAAAAACACTGAAAATGCTTTGAAAAATAAGGAGTATGGATTTTCAGACCTTGAGAAGTCAAGTAATGTTTGGAGAAAATGTTAAATAACACTGAGTTGACCGAGTGACTTGTTTCTATGAAGAGTTCACTGCAGAGTTACAGGGTCAGGGTGAGAGTCTGAATTAATGAATACTAGTTGTATTGAGAAGAACATATACACTAAGCTTGTTTTTATTGGTCAAGTATTTCTCCGTACGGACTTATTAAGCATCGATCAAAGTCCGATCTGTCAGATTTGTACAGAATCAGCTTCTAAAGCTCTGTGTGAGAGAGGCCAGGTACCGTGAGCAAACAACCCCACATTTAGCGATACCTTATCAACATTAGCAAGTCTGACAATGTGACTACTACTACTAAAATGCATTTGCGGCAAACAGAGATCTTACCTCAGCGTCAAGAGGACATCACGTATTCTTTTCTTGATAATTCAACATTGTACACAAAAAATCTGTGGTAAATAGGACATATACTTGTTTTCAGGTTGATATTAGTGTCGAATTCGTCTACTTCAACATGTCTCCATGCTTTAATGTTAGCCAATAGGAGCGAGAGTGTTACAAAGTGATGTCCTGCCCATTAGCCTATGAGAGAAACGACAGTATGGCTATCATCATGTTATAGAAATTACATACAATATACTTTTCTTTGCTCCCTCTTCAGCTGGAGTACACGGCGCGGCTGGACTTCCTGTGGCGCGTTCAGGCCAAAGAGGAGATCAACGAGATGAAGGAGCTGCGAGAACACAACGAGAACATGCTGAGGAACATCCTGCCGAGCCACGTGGCCCGACACTTCCTGGAGAAGGACCGGGACAACGAGGTCTGCACAAAACATCCCGTCACACATCTGAAATCTGCCTCACAGTCATAAAACATGCAATCAGTCACACTTACAAGTGTGCTTTATTTCATACCATTATGTTGATTTGTTTGTTCGCCAATTGATCGCTTAGAAATACAACCGCAGGCTCTTCCATGATGATGTGTTCAGGAGCTTGTGGGAATTCTTACACTCAATAGTTTGTTGATGAACAACTAATCCTTGAGAAGACGTTTCCAGGATATGACACAGTAGCTTCTCATTTCAGTTTGTAGAACTTAAGAAAGGCTTGGCTTACTTGAAGCTTATGCTCATGATTCTTGCTATCCTGACTTCTTATACCTTTGAAGAGCCGAAGCTCAAATCTCACGCAAAACCTGAACACATCAGGAGGGAAATTGAAAGTTAATAATTGGTTCTCTCACCAAAGTAATGCTGAAAGTCACGGGACATGTTGACGTCACTATGAGTTTGTGCTGCAGCTAAACTTAATTTACCAACTCTAGGGAATACATTGAAAAAGGACATCCAAACAAAAGACATCCAATCTGCACAAAACAACCCGTCACACTTCTGAAATCTGCCTCAAAGTCATAAAACATGCAATCAGTCACACTTACAAGTTTGCTTTATTTCATACCATTATGTGTATTTGTTTGTTGGCCAATTGATCGCTTAGAAATAAGATAAGAGGTACTTTATTGATCCCAAATTGGGAAATGTTTGCGTTGCAGCAGCATCAAAAACAACAAAACAAGGCATTGCACATAAGTAGAAATTAAAGAGTAGAAATAAACTATTCTAGAATTTAAACATCTGAAAAATAGAATTAAAACAGCATTAAAAAGTAGAAAATATAGAGTAGACCGTGAAGATAAATAAAACACTATTGAAGGGCTTTAGACACAATTTAAAGTGGACCTATCATGCTATATTTAAATGATATATTGTAGGGCCATACCTATATAAGGTATATTTATACGTTTCTGTTTTCAAAATACCAAACAGATCATGCATTTTAGCCATGCCTCATTTCGCTCTATGTGCTGTTTGCTGTCTACGGGTCTGATTCTGCTGACCACGCCCCCCTGCAGGAGAGGGGAGACGTGCTCTGATCAGCTGCTGGGCTGTCAGAAGAGGGGGAGAAAAATAGATCTCCGTCCTCCGTGTTTTATTATATAGAGTCGTTATTCATTTGTTTTAAAGCTCAATAAATAACAAAGAAGACCTTTGACCGGCACTTTTCTAATTTTGTCCGGAAGATTTAAACTTTAACGGACATCTTGACCGGCGAAAGAAACTGAAACTCTGCCGCACGGTCCCCTCGTTCCTTGGAAGAGGCGGAGAGGTGGGTGTTTGTCATCTGCTGGTGGACTAACCGGAGAGAATTACAGCGCTTGCCTCGACGGGGAGGGATTGCATTGAATTAAAGCAGCGGGAGCAAACGCTTGCCTCGGGGAGGGAGAAAGAAAGCCACAGCGGAGAATAAACAGAAGGGTAACCATGGTAACTATGGGCGGGAAGTCTTCTTCGCTGCTTTTGTGGCAGACTACAGCGCCACTTACAGGCCTGGCATATGTACTACAGCGTCTCCAGCGCTTTCGAGCGGCAATGGCCGGCCGTGGCCCAACCCCACATTCCCCTGATAGGTGGAGAGTTGGCCCAATAGCCGTAGTGCCACTTCTGTGACGACATAGAAGTGTTCAAATCTGGATCAGTCTGTATCAGATCCGTTGCAGCCCCTTTTTTAGAGATTTGGGTATGGAGGAAAATAGAGAGGGTTGTGTTTTCTGACACTTGGTGAGTTCCCTGGAACACCGGGGACACATATTCATGTAGAAAAGACTTACAAAAGTGCATTTTGCATGATAGGTCCCCTTTAAAGCAGGGTATTATGAAATGATGATGATGTGTTCAGGAGCTTGTGGGAATTCTCACACTCAATAGTTTGTTGATGAACAACTTTAGATGTGAATTAGTGTTCATTTTGTCAGCTAATTTTTAACTTAGTCTTAGTCTTAGTCCTGTGTCAAATGTCCTTGTTAGTTCTAGTCATATTTAGTCACCTTCAAGTTTTAGTCGACTAAAAGTCTGAGCATTTGAGTTTGTAGCACTTAAAAAAAGGCTTGGCTTATTTGAAGCTAATGCTCATGATTCTTGCTATCCTGACATTGTATACTTTTGAAGAGAGGAAGCCTCAAATCTCACCTGAACACATCAGAAGGTTTGTATTATTAATACTGTTTGTAAAGGAATAGACAATAAATCATTGGTTCTCTCTCCAAAGTAATGAAGTAACGTCTTAATTTACTTAGTTTACCCATCAACTCTAGGTAATACATTGAATAGTTTAGGGTTAGGGTTAACCATAGGTTGGATTCATACATCCAATCATCACTTTAATACTGATGTAAATGATGGAGATTCTAAAGCTCAATATTTAACTTTACAAATCACACAACGTCACGTTTTCACCTCGTCTTTTTTACCGCTGACCTGCTCCGAAATCAGTCCCCTGCAATCTGTTCGCTGAGCAAAGAAAAGTAATTGCTTTTGCTAACTTTTACAGAGACAGGGAATCGGGGGGGTATTTTTGGCTGTATGCATTTGATTGGATTTTAATAACACGTTGTCAGAGAACACATTGATTTGTCGCTCGTCGCAGGAGTGACTCAGCTGACCTCCCTCCGCCTTATCTCTGCTGCCCTTTTCCTTTTGTGCTTTTAAATTCCCTCTGAATGGAGCTGTCTGCGCTCAGTCAGAGTTATTTAATGGGCACACACAGACATTACACACTCATCAGACGGGCCTCCTGGTGCGTTTCAACCCATTTACTAAATGACTTTTATGATTGTTTTACGTACTTTAGATCCTCAAATGCGTTTATATTGAATCATTTGGATTAATAACCATATAGCACAATTCCTTTAAAGCCCCTTGCATTCCTTGTTGCATGTCAATATATGTGAAGCGTTTAGAGCATCTGGAAAAGCGCTAAAAGAAATCGAATGAATTATTATTATACAATGATTTGCTATCGTGAGCGATACCGTTGGTAGCTAGCTAGCTTGCTAACAGTGGCGATCGTCACCTCCTGTGATTTAAAGGGCCCATGTCATGGCCATTTCCACTGATCATAATTCCATTGTTGAGGTCTACTAGAATAGATTTATACTGTGCATCTCTCCAAACTCACATTGGTTTCTCATACAGCATCTCTGTAAACTACTTGTATTCACTGAATTTCACTCTCTGCCTTTAACGGCTCGTTGTAGCTCCAATAGCTCCAGCCCCCCCCCTCCCTGTGAGCACAGTGTGCTCTGATTGGTCGGGACGTTGTGAATCGCGCTGAGCTCCGTGGAGGTGTTGTTTTCCTTGTTTAGGATACATAGCGAAACACAGCCAAACTCATCCTGAGCACACACAAAGTCACATCCGAAGTAAAAACAATAAGGTGTCTTGATATTGAGTAAGAAAAAGGTTGATAAACGCTGTGAGAATGGGTCTGCAGAGAGAACGGGTCTGCAGAGAGAATGGGTCTGCTGAGAGAATGGGTCTGCGGAGAGAATGGGTCTGCAGAGAGAATGGGTCTGCAGAGAGAATGGGTCTGCAGAGAGAATGGGTCAGCAGAGAGATGGGTCTGCAGAGAGAATGGGTCATGCAGAGAGAATGGGTCTGCAGAGAGAACAGGTCTGCAGAGAGAACGGGTCTGCAGAGAGAACGGGTCTGCAGAGAGAACGGGTCTGCAGAGAGAACGGGTCAGCGGAGAGAACGGGTCTGCGGAGAGAATGGGTCTGCAGAGAGAACGGGTCTGCAGAGAGAACGGGTCTGCAGAGAGAACGGGTCTGCTGAGAGAATGGGTCTGCAGAGAGAATGGGTCTGCAGAGAGAATGGGTCTGCAGAGAGAATGGGTCAGCAGAGAGAATGGGTCTGCAGAGAGAATGGGTCTGCAGAGAGAATGGGTCTGCAGAGAGAATGGGTCTGCAGAGAGAATGGGTCTGCAGAGAGAATGGGTCGGCAGAGAGAACGGGTCTGCAGAGAGAACGGGTCTGCAGAGAGAACGGGTCTGCAGAGAGAACGGGTCTGCAGAGAGAACGGGTCTGCAGAGAGAACGGGTCTGCAGAGAGAACGGGTCTGCAGAGAGAACGGGTCTGCAGAGAGAATGGGTCTGCAGAGAGAATGGGTCTGCAGAGAGGATGGGTCTGCAGAGAGAATGGGTCTGCAGAGAGAATGGGTCTGCAGAGAGAATGGGTCTGCAGAGAGGATGGGTCTGCAGAGAGAATGGGTCTGCAGAGAGAATGGGTCTGCAGAGAGAACGGGTCTGCAGAGAGAATTTCGCCGCGATCCCAACTGTCTGTTATCAGCCTGCAGCCAGGGAGGAGAAATCAGCTGAGCTGCCTGCTCCCTGCACACAGATGTGTGTGTGAGGAAGTCCGTGGATTGGTCAATTTGGACCAATCAGCGGGGGCTTAACGTAACGGCTCCGCGGACGTAACGTAACGGCTCCACGGATTGGTCCATTTCGTTCCGGGTTCGGCTTGACATCATGCCGTACCCGGAACGAAATGGAAGAATCAAATGGACAATGACATATCTCCAACGAGGCGTTTTGGGGAGGTATTTTCTGTGTTAGAGTTTTACTCGCTACAGGGTGTACTTTGAGGGTTTGTGACTCTGCACACCGTTTACATGCATAAAAACCTTCATAACACACAAGGGGACGGGTAATAACGGAAAAGCATGACATGGGCCCTTTAAGACACTACTAACCAGTCCAAATTCACACACTGCTTTTAAAGTAACGTGTTTACAGTGTACGTCATGGCGGTGAATCACAGGAAATAGAGACTCACTAGACCGCCACATAGTGAAGTGTGGTCACTTCTCCACCAGTGCCTTTAGCTTAATGTCAATGCCAGAGATGGTAAAAGTACACACATCCTTGACTCAAGTAGAAGTACAGATACTCGTGTTTAAAAGTACTCTGGTAAAAGTAGAAGTACTGACTAAACTTCTTTACTCAAGTAGAAGTAAAGAAGTATGGACTTTGAAATGTACTTCAGTAAGAAGTCATGCTTTCTTCTCCTGGATAATGGCTGATGGTGATGGTGTCATGGAGGAAGGTTATAACACGCTCCGTATTGTCCTCGTCGCGCTCCGTCATTATCGACTCCTCCGATCTTCCGTTGCCTCTCAAACAAAAGGCGAGCCTCCGATGAATTATGAATGTCAGGAGAGGAGAGCAGATAAAGAACGGACGTGATTAGAAATGCATCCATTGAGATGAAGCTTGGGTCCTGATCACTTGTTGCATTATTGATCAGGAGGTTTGGATACTGGAAACGGCTCCTATACGGACCTGTGGAAATACTCAGGTGACAGAAAGCTTGAGTGGTTTTTATATCAACGTTTTTAGTTGTTTGGATATTTGTATTCAGACTCTGTCAAACGCACCAATCCTAATATCTGTTAAAGATTCCTGTGTTGAATGATGGATTCATTAAACTGTGATATATTGATTCAATTCAGTTATCTTTCATTCTCCAAATTTGAGCTTTTTTAACCGTCTCTGTGTCTAATGAAGGTCGTACTTGTAAGTATAAGAAGAAATATTGGAAAGTGGGAGAAAGTGAAGTCCTGATTAGACAACCTTTGCCAATTCGTCTTATTAGTTGAAGACCGTTTTCTGTGATACTTGTTCCTCCTTGATTCTCCAAATGTAATAAACCTCTCAGTTTTGATCGTATTAAGGTCATAGTATAAAGTATAATAAGAAATATTGGAAAGTGTTATAAACTGGAAGATATAAGAAGAAATAAGCGGGAAAAAGACAAGTCCTGATAAGACGCGTTTTGTCAATTTGTCTTGAGTCCTTCTAATTGATTAGATTAGATTAGATTCAACTGCATTGTCATTGCACAGATTACAAGTACTTAAGACAACGAAATGTAGTTTGCATCTAACCAGAAGTGCAAGAGTTGTTCAAGTATAATATATATACATGTGACAGATATAAACAAACTGAATGTATTTAAAGTATGACGAACCAACTAGTAGCACAAGGGAAAGCATGACTAAAGACACAAGGAGAGAAAACAGGTCAAGACACAAGGAGAGAATACTTTCACAATAAACCCAGAAACTATACCCACACAAAACTAAAATCATGACAATGTTGAGTTTAAAACTGATGTGGATTATATGCTATAACCTTTCCAGTCACCTGTGGACGCCTACCCTAAAATAATGAAGTATATTGAAGTAGTTTCACACAGTAACACACTTTTAGTTTGACTCTCATGTGTATCTCATGCAGTGCAGACATCGTGCAGGATGACTCCCTAAATAAACCTCTGAACTCTGAAGAGCCGCGGTGAAGGACAGAGGAATGAAATGAGCTCGGCTGAAGCTCTGACATTTGACTGAGCTCATTAAGCGTGCGTAATGTCAGTTAAGATGTCAAAATAAAGTGCAATTAAAAGAAGAAGTCAGGCAGAATACAGAGAGAGAAGAGTCTGAGGTTTCATTATTTATGTGAGATGTTGAACTATGGCTGGACATTTTGTTTACCGGTCTATTATTAAAATATGCTCCTACATGTAGTGACGGGATGAATACATTACCTTGTGCTCATTGTGTGCCAACACTGCCCCCTGCTGGTGGAGGCAGTGTACTGCAGCATCACCTGAATCAGTATCATACCATTCAAACCTTGGTTTTGTACTACTGTGTATAAGTACAAATCATATTAAAGCCGGGGGATGGTTGGTTACTTTACTACAATGTGCAAGATGGGATCTTCCTAATCCCCCCACAGAGGGTACAAAGAGAATATCACAACATTAGTGAGGAGGTGCAACAGTCATGGAGATATAGCTTGATGTGTACTCCTGGTTCTGGCAAACGTATCTCTAAAGTCTGGATGCTTTCTCAAAAATGTTGGTTCTCTGCTGAAATCATGCCTTTTTTCATTTTGGCCACATGAACATTAAAATAATTCTCAGACAAAGTCATCCCCTGCTGGCCTGATACACCGCAAGTGACCATTCAAACATAAAAAACACTTCATTCTCAGAGAACCTCAGATTTCTTTCCCCTCAATGTTCACACAATCGGAATATAAATAAAAGTGAATATTGTAAATGATTTGTTGGGAAGTCCTATTACCAACCTCTTGTGATATGATAGGCTTCAACACCACATACTACACACTTTGCAATGGAGGTGTTTCCTTTGCAGACCATTGGCATGCACTAAAACCTATATAACACACTACAGGAAAGGGACAGCCCCAGAATAGTAGTAAATATATAATAGGGCCTCTTTAAGAAAAGGTATGAATGAGTGAAACATGTTTTCTTTCCTCCTAACAAAGTGACTGAACATTTGCCACGTGTAAGCGTCATACATTTCTTTGAGCTTTAGGAAAAGCTCTTTAAATCCCATGTATTACGATGTGTCTTTCCAGGAGCTGTACTCTCAGTCGTACGACTCGGTGGGCGTGATGTTCGCCTCCATCCCGGGCTTCGCAGACTTCTACTCTCAGACGGAGATGAACAACCAGGGAGTCGAGTGCCTCCGGCTCCTCAACGAAATCATCGCCGACTTCGACGAGGTGAGACTTTGAAGTGTTCGCCCACTTTGAAACATGCTGGGGAGCAGCGTCTATAGGTAAAACATCTCTGATGAAAGCGTGCAGCTTATTGCCCAGAACACTTCACAACTGATTCATGCAAACGTGTCAGGGGAGCTGAGAAAGGGTTTATCTCAGATAGAAAGAAGAGACTCAACTATTCAAATCTAAAGGACAGGACAGGACTGAGGTATGAGCCTCCTTCTTGTATTGATTTCCCCAAACGAGATTCAGAAGGATGTGTAAGAGTTTGAATATTGGCTTTCTGTGACGAGGTTTGACAGTTCAGGATTTCTTTATTATATCACATGTTAGACGCTTTAATCCAAAGTGACTTGCATGCTCAATACTGTGGGCAATCACCACAGGAGCACTTTGGGGTGAAGTGTCTCAGGGATACAACGACATGCTGACTGCAGTGGGGTTTGAACCTGTGCTCCCCTGATCCCAACACCAACGCACTAGTCCACTGCGCCACACGCCTCCAGAAAGATTTCTCACAGGTTTTATAATGATGGAGAAAGAAGTCTAAAGCAAACAAAAATACGAAATCCTTCCTACTGAGCAGTGAAACATAAGGAATACATGTCTTTGCAAAAAACACATATTTGTTTGTACGGTTAGAAAAGTCAGTCCTTACATTTAATCATTTAAATTTCATATGTAGGATTAGGATTTCAGGATTCCCTTCTTTATTCATCAAACTGCCTTAAAGTCATTCTTCTGCACATTTAAAAAGTGTCTGGATTTCTGAAACTGGCACCAAAAGGGACTTCTTTAAACACACGTCGCTTGCTTGCTGAGGTTTCCTTGCAGCCGACAGTCTGACGGAGACTCCACTGAGTTTTTGACAGAACGCGTCAAAGTCTCCTAATGAGAGCGAGACAGCAGCTGAGCTCTCTGCAGCCGGCGGCCACATCCTCACCTTCTGCTCAAACACAGACGAGTGGCTTGTCCTATCAGCAGCTGTATGATCACATCGGAGAACAACTAGCTAAACATGATAAACATTTGTTTTTGACACAGAGATCATTTTCTGCAATAATCCAAAATCACATGGAGAAATCCCATTGAAGAGGAGATGCTGACGGACGACAACAACCCTCCACTCTAAAGTCAAAGCTGTTGTTGTTCTTCCCTCTGTGTGTTGCTCATTGTGTGAGTCAGTCAGGTGGGCAGGGTGATGCTGAGTTTCCTCCTGAGGCAGTTCCAGTCAATCTGACCTTTCCAGCAGAGTCAGTGCTCATGCTGAGTACACACCTGTCCTCTATTCATGCTGCTCCAGGAGGGACATTGAAAGAGGGCAATATCACAACTGAACATTTGGTGTTTTGGCAGGAATAAGGATCTCACCGGGACTCCATTTCATTTAAGTCCTTCAAGTGTGGACTGGAAGCTGTTCAGTCAAGTCACTCCCAGACTGAGGTTGTTAGAACAGGAAACCTACTTTTAAACTTGTATCCATTGAATGAAACAGTCAAGTTGTGTTAATAGCAGTCAAAGATCATAACAAGAAGCCTCAATGGAGCCTTTTGGGGATGCGTCTTAAACCTGCTTTTCTCATCATATCCAACAGCCTCTTTTTGGAAAGTCTCATTGTATAGAAGTCTATGAGAAACTCTACTTCTTACCTGATTCATTACATCAGAAACATTTTCCTGTTGCGTTTATGGTCTCAATCTCTTGTTTCAAGTCTTCTTCAATACAGCACGATGTTCATTTAGTCAATTAGGGTCCCATTTTGAGTAAGATAGCCGATGAAGCAGGGCATGCTTTAGTGTTGGGCTACCTTGTGATTGGCAGGTGTTTACCCAACACAGTCTCACGGCATTTCGTGTTATAGTCACGAAATTAATCTATTGATTCGTGTTCACCAACACCATTTCGCCATTTTTTTCGTGTCACACAGAACGATTTTAAAAGCAATGTAAATAATAACAAATTAGAAGGAAAAAAATCTGACATAAAATACAGATGTCAGTATTCTGAGGCTCTGAGACATTTATTTTCCTCACTGACGGCAAAAACACTCAGACATTATACAATTTAAAATAAAAGGGATAGGGTTAGGCTTAGGGTAAGATATTGAGTAAGAACATGTTTTTATGAACCACACAGCTTCTGGTCTTCCAAGACCCGACCGGACAAAAAGACGTGTTGCAGGCACGAAACATACTACCAATAGAAATACATTGCATTTAAAATCGTTCTGTGTGACACGAAAAAAAAAGGTGAAAATCGTGTTGGTGAACACGAATCAATAGATTACATTAATTTCGTGACTAATAACACGAAATGCCGTGAGACTGGGTTGGTTTACCACACGGTATTGACTAGTTTGGATGTTGTTGATGTTTTCGTCTTCAAAGTGTTTCCAGATCGTGAAGCTTAATATAATAATCTTGGTAACATTTGGTTGTACATGGATTATTGTCCTTTAGGTTGTCATTAGGGTCAGAATAATAAACATCTCTCTCTGTGTCACAGCTGCTTGGTGAGGATCGTTTCCAGGACATCGAGAAGATCAAGACGATCGGCAGCACCTACATGGCGGTCTCCGGCCTGTCGCCTGAGAAGCAGGTGAGACCCTCCAGCTTCCACCTGAACTCACAATATATCACTTTAACCCTGCGTGCTGTTTCAGAGTCTGGAGATCCGGTGCTTCTCTGGGTTGGTGGTTAGCTGCTAACCTCCTCAAAAACTCGGCTCACAACATGTCCTAAACACTAAATGCTAAATGTGCAACTGGTTTTCTGTTTTCTAAATATCTACGGTTGAAACCTGATTGACATAAACTCACTGTAGCTGGACGTGCTGTACATTATCAGAATATGTTGGGCAATCATAAACTACAAGTCTACATTATATCACTCATTCGATCTAAAGGTGTTAGCTATATACACACTTTATTAAGCTAAGCTAATAATGTTCTGTTTTCCGTTCTGATGGAAACAGCGGAGAAGAAAGTACACAGTTAGACAGTTAGTGTTTCTGAAAAGCAGGTTTCCAAGTCAAGACAGAGGAGTTGACAGCTTGCAGATGTCCTTTGTTGGCTTCCTGTCAGCTTCATACTTTGTTAAGTGTTTTCTGAAACAAAGGACACCATACATGCGTGGTAAGGACATTTGAAAAGTGCTGCACAAAGACCAAGTGAACACATAGGGAGTTGGCAGAGTGTTTAACAAAATAAGCCAAACATTTGAAATGGGTAATTGTTTATGTATTTGTTAGTTTTGTTTTATCACATGTAAGAACTTGTTTCAAAGATAAAATGCAAAATGAAAAAGTGCAATTCAAATCTCAAAGAGTAAGTAGGAATGAATGGCAGCAGTATGAATAGTAGGAGTAGGAGTAGAAACCTCAGTCAGTAAATGGAGCTTTGGGAACGTGACAATGCACTCAGTGACCTCTCCGTCTCCAGAGACCTGTTCTCTGACACGGACACACCTTGGTGTCAGAGATCCAGTTCCCTTTGTGACGCTCCTTCTCTTCTCCTGTGACCCGCAGCAGTGTGAAGATAAATGGGGTCACCTGTGTGAGCTGGCGGACTTCGCCATCGCCCTCAACGAGAGCATCCAGGAGATCAACAAACACTCCTTCAACAACTTCGAGCTGAGGATCGGTAAGAGCGGGTTTTTACTGCTTCTTTTCAAACGATTTACGATCGATGTCTTTGTAAAATGCTGAAAATGCAGATAAATATCTCTTTCTGCATTTTAAAGCCTTGTCTTTCATTTCTTTTAAATCCCATATTGATTGAAGTCTCTGATAGGGTTGCATCAAACCATTACAGTGTCTCTTAGCTGATCTATGCATCAGGTGTTTTGTTGCTAGGAACATCTTTACGTCTCTAGAATGTCTCTAAATTATACAAAAATAAATCCTGAAATGAAGATGATCTTATTTTATCTAACAATATTAAACCCCAAAGATATTTAGTTCATAGTGATTTAAAAACTGAAGCAAAATCATCAAAACTTATCTTGATGGTCCAGCAAGGGCAACCCGAGTCTCCTGGTTGCAAATAGATCACATGACAAAATGACCATGTTTCCTTATTTATTACCAAAACATTCTCAAACAACTTGGTTGGATTTAGGTGAAGATTGTGGTTTGGATTAGTGAAAATAGTGTTGAAGTAGATAGAAGTTAGAGCTACTGTCTGTATAGAAGTCTATGAAAGAATTACCATATGTTTTGCTTAACGAGTTTATGGTCTCAATCAGTCGCTTCAAGTCTGATGTATTAACAAGATGTAAGATGCCTTTTAGTCAAACATATCCTCATAGAAAGGTTTATAGGATATGTTACAAGTTTATATCAAATAGTATAGTTATTTCAAATATATCGCACATCTCCTACATTTATACTTTCTCAATAAATGCTCTCTTTTACGGAACATTCCCTGCTCGACAGAGACGACCTGGTTGGATCTAGGAAAAGATAGTATCTTGAAATACTAAAAACGAATATTGAATTTGTAGCAGTTTGACTAAAGTTGCTGGGGTCAGGTCAAGCCTAACCACTTTTAGAGTCAAACCCCTATAAAGGGTACATGTTACCGACGGGGACACATACAGCACACGCCCCTCTGAACCAGTTCAATATTTCTGTGTTTTTAACCTAGTAAAGGAATAGATTTGAACACAAACACACAACACATCTCAGCTACTTTGTCTCTCCGTCAGGTATGGCCCACGGCTCGGTGGTGGCCGGTGTGATCGGAGCCAAGAAGCCTCAGTACGATATCTGGGGGAAGACGGTGAACCTGTCGAGCCGGATGGACAGCACGGGCGTCAGCGGGAAGATCCAGGTCCCCGAGGACACCTTCCTGATCCTGAAGGAGCGCGGATTCGCCTTCGAGTACCGCGGCGAGATCTACGTGAAGGGCATCAGCGAGCAGGAGGGAAAGATACGGACGCACTTCCTGTCGGGCCGCGTTCAACCAAATCCGCTCATCATGCAGCCGCGAAAAATCACCGGCCAGTATTCGCTGGCGGCCGTGGTGCTCGGACTGGTGCAGTCGCTCAACAGGCAGAAGCAGAAGCAGATCCTCAACGAGAACAACAACTCGGGCATCATGAAGGGCCACCACCACTACAACCGGAGGACGTTGTTAGCGCCCGGTACCTCCGAGTCGGGAGGTGGGCATCACACGGAGCCAGCTGATAAGGCTGAGCTGTCCTGAAGAGCACATCACAGGGTTTCAGTTTCCACAACGAAGAGTCCTCAGAGGCAGAGAGGCTCCCCAGGCAGAAACCGTCCCAGAGGTTGAGTTCAACTTAGACCAAGTCATGTTTAGGAAGTCTCAAGTCTTTGCAATCAAGTCATAATTGAAGTCTTAAGTCTTAATTTAGAGAATAAAGAACCGTCCCAGGGGTTGAGTTAAACTTCAGCGAGTGCAGCTTTCTGACTTAGCGAAGGGAAAGCAGCCGGAGGTTCTTTAGGAGTCATCAAAACTTCAGTCAACAAGTCATAAAACCCTGAAATGCTGACTCGTTTCAGGGTTTTATGACTTGTTTAACCATCAGTGAACCAAACTAGCCCCAACACCAAACTAGAACAGATCCATTATAGTCACTTTGTGAGGTTAATTAGCAGCTTAGCTTAGCTTAGCTTACACATTGATATATGACCAATCATGCTGCTTTAACAATGTCAATTAAGTCTCTTACATATTCCCTCTGAACTGAATTCGTCCGATCTTCTAGTTTCTTAGGATATCAGGTTCTTAACTGTATCTTAACAATTGAGCTTTAAAAAGTCAAACTTTAAATAGTTTTGAAGGCATTTCTAACTCTGAAGCGTCCTTTAGGGAACTTCCCGAGCACATATCGAGACACAAGTGGTATCAATGGATTAGATTGGACCTGTAGTTCTCATATGATGTCAGAATGTTCACTCTAACTAAAGGGCTTTCACTCAACCAATCAGATGGTGTCTGCCTCCTGCAGCTGCTCTGCTTCTGACCGATGTTTGGAGAGCTGAGGCTCCACTTTGTCCTTGAAAGAGGAAGAAGAGGAGGAGGAGGAGGGGGAAGAGGAAGAGGATCTGTTTCCTCCTCCCTCATCTGTTGGAACGATCCCCTCGGACTATTGGACGTTCCTCCTGTCGTTTCCACTTCCTGTTTTTATGTCGCCCCCCCGCCCAAAACCCCAAACCCCCGTCCCGCTGACCCTCGCCCGGTGTCGATGTTTCTTTTTTGTATTTCTTTTATATATGAGAACACAATTAAAGGGGTCTAATTTTTATACAAGCCTTGTGTCTGGTTCCCTTTATTCTATATTAAGCTTCTGTTTTCAAGAAGCATCCAGACGTCCACTTCGGTCATATCATTTTATAAACAACAGCAAATTCATTTGTAAGGTATTATTGATGCTCTTTCTGCATTTCTCTGTCATGCAGTATATTCTAGGATCAAGGTTATATTTGCACACGGCACTTTCTACAGGATTTCTGATGATAAGGATATTTTCAGACAAAGAAACTTAGTTCACTTTAAAACAATGTTACCGTAGCTTTAACACTTTCGCACCACACACAAATGAACTAAAATACAATTGGAAACATTTGAATAAAATACACAAAGATAAAATAGGTCATATAGTTACTTATCTGATGGAAATAAACAAAAACAAACCATCAGATTATATAACTTTTAATAAAGCTGATAAACGTTCTGCTATTGATTTGAACTTTAAAGAAGAAATTGTGCTTTTAATATCATCTAATTTGCACATTTCCGGCTGCACACATAACCTTGTATTTCCACATCAGAGAAAGAAATTGGTCTTCTTCTTGAAAAGGTCTTGAGGAATCCCATCAGGATAGTTTGAAGAAGAGGAGATGATCCTGACGCCTGCTGGAGGACGCCGAGCATCTGCACTGACTTGTGTATTTATCAGTCAATGATGGAGTTTGGAATATAAATGAGTTACCTGACTCTTCTCTGCCATGATGGCCTTTATTCATTTTCCACTTGAAATACACGTCCTAAACGCACTTTTACAACAAAAGATCTAATATTTGAACTTTAAAATTCGCTGATTTACACAAAAGGAGAAATGAATCTGTAAATGTCATGCAGTCAGGGACAAATACGTTATTCAAAGCCCAAATACAGTTGGTTTTAAACGCGTTTTAAGATAAGATAAGATAGGACTGTATGCATCCCGAAGGAAATTGTAGAATAGTGCAAAAAAACGTAGTGGCGGATTTGTAATTGCACGTTATTATTAATATTGCACATGTAATGTTTAATAGACTTCCACTCTTACTTGATTTCATAAAATCACATTTATTTGGCTTTTTGAATTGTTTCTTATTGTCGTGCAGTTCCCTGCCTTGGCCACTAGATGGCAGGAGGAGCTCATCACTCTGCTGCGGTCACACTGAGCAGAGCTTTTAGAAACAGATGATATTATGGGATGTTCTCTGATGACTTTTACTGAACAGAAAAACAGTACTTGAGAACTTCACTAGAAAATATGTTGTGAGAAAAATGAAACAGGACTGTAGTATTCAGCTGTAGTGGCCGAGTCAGTGCCTGCATGGACGCTAACTTTGTATTAGTCACAGAAATAGTTATAAAAACAAAGCTACATAGGGTATACATTAACATTGACACTATGCACAGATATTGCTATTACAATGTCTATATATCTACAGGCTATACATACTTTAAATACCATATTTACAGACAGAAGGGAAATAGTGCAGAGTGCAAAGAGTGCTGGAATAAATGGAATATTAGTCTAACAGGATTTGGTATGAAGTAGGTGGATTCGGCACGCGACACGAGAAGTTCCTCTCACAAACATGTAAGGCAACATTGTGATATTGCGCAGGTGTCTTTTGACCACTAGGGGCTGTCAGAGGTGCTGCTGTGTGTCAAACATTTCCCATTGCAAGATTTAACACTTAAAGGTTTTTATTTTAATATGCAAAATACCTACAGTGTAGTTGTTCGCAATAAAAAAGTCCTAAGTCTAAGAGCTCCAACTGTGCAACGTACCAAACCAGTGAAACAGCGCTTACTGGAGTAGGGTTTTAATATTATTATTGTTCATATTATCTGTGCCTATTAGCTTTTGTCCGTGCTTATGTGTGTGATGTTGTGTTGCATGTTAATGTGTTGGAACATAAGGGTTCATAGTTGGGAACATGTGCTTTAATATGTGATGCAATCATGCTTCAATTATCATGTGCTTTTTGCTCTGTGTTGATGTGCTCTGCGATTTTATATTTCCTCTTAATGCCATCAACCTGCCGGGGACTGCAGATGAACATTAGCCTCCATACGGCTATTTGTTCTTAAATAAATACAATACTCTTAAGACATATAAGAAATACGGAGATAAACAAATTAAAATAAGACGGCGCAAGTGACACAAAGGTGCGAAGAGGGCAGGATTAAGTCAACTATGTACATGTAAAATGGATTAACACAAAACAGAAGGGAATATTTCAATAAATCGGCTGTAAATGATGATGTAAGTCGATGAGAGCTGTCAGGACTCAATCACGCTAACAAGAAAACCATTAAAATATCTAAATATGAATCTTCAATCTTCATTTGAAACCTGTTTTCTTCCAACAGGCCGCACAGGAAACAGCCTCAGAAATCCTCCAACAGTCGACTTCACACACACAGAATTTCTAACCCTTTACACACACTAATAATAATAATAATAATAATAATAATAATAATAATAATAATAACACACACATTTAGATGCAGTGCTCTGAATGTCCTCCCACCTGCCTCGAGACATGATGAATAAATCAATGAATCAAACACAACAACCTGTGTGTGTGTGTGTGTGTGTGTGTGTGTGTGTGTGTGTGTGTGTGTGTGTGTGTGTGTGTGTGTGTGTGTGTGTGTGTGTGTGTTCACCAGGAAAGCATCGCTCCTCTTCCTCGTATGGATTTTCTGTTAGACGTGAAGAGGAGGAAACAACGGGAGGGATGAGGAGGACGGAGTTGCCATGGCGACCACCGGCTTGTTGGCTGTGCAATGTGTGTGTGTGTGTGTGTGTGTGTGTGTGTGTGTGTGTGTGTGTGTGTGTGTGTGCGTGTGTGCACGTGTGTGTGTGTGTGTGTGTGTGTGTGCGTGTGTGTGTGTGTGTGTGTGTGTGTGTGCGTGTGTGCGCGTGTGTGTGTGGGTGTGTGTGTGTGTGCATGTGTGTGTGTGTGTGTGCGTGTGTGTGTGTGTGTGTGTGTGTGTGTGTGTGTGTGTGTGTGTGTGTGTGTGTGTGTGTGTGTGTGTGTGTGTGTGTGTGTGTGTGTGTGTGTGTGTGTGTGTGCGTGTGTGCAAACAGGTGCAACTCATTAAGGGAAAGGTCAGAGAGGTGTTGATGAGGCAAAGTTAAAAACACCTGTGTGTCCTCAAATAAAGAATGCCTCCTCTTATCACACACACACACACACACACACACACACAACACACGCAAGACATGCCGACGTGAATAATGTTGCAAGAAGAGGATGTTGAATTTGAAATAGATGTAAACATATGTACAGTACATATTAGAAAAGGTCTCCCTATAATCCTACCACTGCCTTCTTTCACCATAACATCACTTTTTAATGATCACGCCTGCAGTTATTAGGAAACACATGCAGCAGCAGCAGCAGCAGCATCATGAAGAGTATAGTGTTGTTCAATATGTTTGCATGGAACCAAATCCCTGTTTCATTCAATCCTGCTATCAATCCACATGATGTACTATCATGTATCTGATTTCAGACTAAATTAATGGACCCTTTTAATTGTTTTACCTAGTATTAAGTCAATTGGCCAAATTGCAAAAATAATTATGAATCTAGATGTCTGGACTTTGAAAATATACTTGAGAGTGAATCTTGAATGAATGTTGTTGGTGCCACTGATCTTAAACCATATTAATTTTCTCTTCTTTGTTTGCATATTTGATTTTAAGTTTTCTAAGGGTTACTTTGAATGAATGTTATAAAATACATGTTTAAGATCCTTTTATAGTAAATATTTCACATTGTCATGTTGAAGAAACCCCATCCATTCAGCGTACAGATCAAACACTTCATCACACAACCCAAACTGAGACCTAGAGAGATGAATCTGTGGTCTGTTACTCACGCTGGGTGCCCTTTCTGTTTACTCCCCATCCATCCCATAGAGAGGGAGGGGGGGGGGGGGGTCATGGTCACTGACACAAACATCCCCGGAGACTGAGCGACCTACATTCAACCATCAAACCATCACCGTTACATAAAGACCAGCGCCAACACACAAGCCTGCCTGTTGCTAGGAAACAAGCCCCGGAGCCCCATCATCATCATCATCTTCATCGAAAGGAGTCTCGTCGGGACACCTGAAAGACGCACAAATGGGTCAGCGAGGACAAAAGAGACAAGAGACGTCCATTATGACATGACTCTGAGACAGCACTCAGCAAAATGTAAGAAAATAGGTTTGTTAGGTTAGTTTCTCTACTTTAAAGAGTCCTCTCCTGCTGATGTTCAGGTGTATATCAGTATGTAGTGTCTCTACTTTAAAGAGTCCTCTCCTGCTGATGTTCAGGTGTATATCAGTATGTACGTAGTGTCTCTACTTTAAAGAGTCCTCTCCTGCTGATGTTCAGGTGTATATCAGTATGTAGTGTCTCTACTTTAAAGAGTCCTCTCCTGCTGATGTTCAGGTGTATATCAGTATGTAGTGTCTCTACTTTAAAGAGTCCTCTCCTGCTGATGTTCAGGTGTATATCAGTATGTAGTGTCTCTACTTTAAAGAGTCCTCTCCTGCTGATGTTCAGGTGTATATCAGTATGTAGTGTCTCTACTTTAAAGAGTCCTCTCCTGCTGATGTTCAGGTGTATATCAGTATGTAGTGTCTCTACTTTAAAGAGTCCTCTCCTGCTGATGTTCAGGTGTATATCAGTATGTAGTGTCTCTACTTTAAAGAGTCCTCTCCTGCTGATGTTCAGGTGTATATCAGTATGTAGTGTCTCTACTTTAAAGAGTCCTCTCCTGCTGATGTTCAGGTGTATATCAGTATGTAGTGTCTCTGCTTTAAAGAGTCCTCTCCTGCTGATGTTCAGGTGTATATCAGTATGTAGTGTCTCTACTTTAAAGAGTCCTCTCCTGCTGATGTTCAGGTGTATATCAGTATGTAGTGTCTCTACTTTAAAGAGTCCTCTCCTGCTGATGTTCAGGTGTATATCAGTATGTAGTGTATCTACTTTAAAGAGTCC